GCAGGGGGATGAAATACAGGCAAAATTGAGCATATTGTTGTAAATCAGAGGAAAATCAGCACAACTGCTTTAAAGTACAAGTGGCAATGAATGCATTTGAAAAATGCACACAGAAATGCATGCATTTGGGAAAATGTACACACAAAAACCCAGGCAGACTTAAAAATCTTCCAAACCTATGCAGAAAAGGGATCAAATGGGCTTAAACTTGAAAATCAAAGACATTCACTGCGAATGAGCATAAAAAACTGCCATTCCATACTTCTTCCATGATCTGAAGGCTGTGTGAACCATCTCAGGTGCACTTTCACCTGGCCCAGCGAAGTGACCGGATCAAAGAGTGGACAACTTGGTGTATTATTACCCAGCAATCTTCTGCCTATTCATTTAGAATGTCTGCAAGGGATTAGACTTTCTCATTTGGTGATCTTGGATCAGTTATCCTCTCTTGGCTTAGCGGGAGGGGCACATATGTGAGAATAAAGTCTTGAGCTTTTTGAAGGGAAGGTAGGAAATTCAAAAACCCAAACTTTCCTTACAGATATCTTGAAGAGTGGCTTCCACACAATGAACAATGTCTTGCTGCCATCTAGTGACAAACTGTGCAATGGGAAGCGTTTCCATTTATTTATTTATTTATTTATTTATTTATTTATTTATTTATTTATATTTAGACTATTTCTAGGCTGTCCATCATTTTCGTCTCTGGACGGCTTACAATATAACTCAGGGAGTTCAACACAAAATCAGTGATTCTGCAAGTTCAGGAGCCTTGCCAATTTTATACTTTAATATACATTTATTATTATGTTTTCCTTTCTTCCTCTTAGAAGGAGCCTGAGGTGGCTCTCATGCTCCCCTTCTACTTCATCTTCACATTAACCCTGTGAGTTGGTTAGGCTGAGAGTTAGTGACTGGGCTCACAGGCCATGACAAACAGCCCTGTGTGTCAGATGATTGCATAGTTCTCTGGGAAACGTGGTTTCCACACTCCCTCTCTGTCCTCCATCTCTTGCTACGCATCAAAATGTTTTAACTAACTAAATAAAATAAATCCCAGCAGCCTCTGTGAGCAGCAGTTCCTTCCTTACACTATTGCACCCTGGGGGCCTCAGGATCCCCTTCCTGATTGGCTTGCTGAGGTTTTGAGGTGGGCTCTCTCTTCCACCTCCTGATGTACCTGCATCATTGCAATGCTCCCTAGCCACAACAGCCCCCAAAATAATTTTAATTAAAACATAATAAACACTTATACTCAATCTCCGTACTTCTCCATGCATTTTCCTATTTTTCCCTCTCTCTGCAAGAGAGGTGGGCACATTGTTCTGCCAATAGGAATAAAGTGGGTGATGACTCATGTGTTGCTAGAGAGCTGAGGGCAGTAAAGAACAGGTGGCTGAGTGGACAGACTGTGGTGTTTCCATGCCAACAGTGGTCAAATGGTAATCTTGGGTCTGGATGGCTACAGAAGCCACAGTGAAACATGGAAACCTCAGAACAGACCATAGATTCTCTCTGGGTTGAGGGGAATTAATGCAGAAATGCCACATCTGGGTCCAGATGCCATGGCAGACCAACCTGAGTAAGAAACCAGCATGGCTTCTTGTGATGTGTGAACTTGGCCAGTGACTGGCTAAAAGCCATCAGGGGGGACTCATGATTGAGTCTCCACTTGACCCAGTAAGCGCCATGCCCCTTGCTGCCTCGATTGCAAACATGATTAACCCACGGAAATGTGTCCAGGTGGAGCAGTTGGGAAACTTCCTCTACCCTGATGGCAGGAAAGAATTTGAGCACCAGCCAAGAAACTTGCGCTCTGGAATTCCCTTTTTACATCAACATCACCATCACCAACAACTTAAGGCCTGCAAAGCAGAAAAATGCCATCTGCTTATTTAGTCCCCACTCTAGACCTTTAGGGCTAGTTATGGGCCTGCCCCACATTCACCACCCGCCCTGCTATTTCCTTCCCTTCTCCTGGTGGCCTTGTCCTTCTGTGGATAGGACCCGTCTTCCTTGTGCAGCTTTCTCCATAGGGTTCCCTCCGCCTCCCCTCTGGCGGCAAAGCACGTGCTCTGTATGCCTGCATTCTGCACAGTGGCTTTTTGCTTTTTGGCTATGACTGGCTTCCCAGACTCTCAAGAAAGTGGCAGGCACTGGCTCCTCCTGGGTGGCAGGTGGCCAGCCTTGGCACGATGAGCACCATGTTCCTTGCAGCTGAGCTAACTGGCTGACAGAAGATGGAGAAGATGTTCTTCCATCTCTGAGGGGCCCACAGGAGGCAAAGGGATGGCATATTAATTCAGAAGTCTAGTACTGCTTTTTTCATACCTGCATCAAAGCCTTATCATGTCACTTTCCGTACTGTATATAGAAGTTCCTTGGCCAATTTCTGCACAGCATCGTGGGTTGGCCTGCCAGGGATATGCAAAGAAATGATGCCAAGGAACTGGGGAATTGGCTCAGGTGGCAGAGCGCTCGCTTTGCATGCGAGAGGTAGCGGGATCGATGCCCGCGTTCTCCAGGCAGTCCTCTCTTCCTCTTTTGTTGTGCACCCCACATATTATCCTTGGGTGACCCTCTGCACAGCATATTGGGTTTGTGTTCTTGAAATATGAAAAAGGGCTCCATTGCCAGGCAGGTGGGGAATTAGCTCAAGTGGGAGAGCGATCGCTTCGCATGTGAGAGGTAGTGGGATCGATGCCCGCCTGCTCCAGGCAAGCCGCTACGCCCTTCTTTTTCCAGGCATACACACAGGTGTTTGGGGCTCACTTCCTGCAGGGCCTCGTGGGCCTCCCTCCTTCCTGAGATATTGCAGGAGGCTGCTGTCAGGCAGGTGGGGACTTAACTGAAGAAGCAGAGCGCCTCCCAGTCCTGTGAAGGGCAGCAGAAGTGTTGCCCGCATTCTTCAGGCATGCGTCTATGCCATTACTTTTCCAGACACGCAGACCGGCACTTTGGGCCTGCTTTCCCCATGGCCTTTCCCTCTTGAGGAATTGCAGGGCAGCACTGGAGATTTAGCTCAAGTGGCACGACCCTCACTTTGCATGCAACAGGTTGCAGGATCGATGCTGCGTTCTCCAGGGTGTATATACTACTGGCAGGCGCTGTCCTTTTCCACCATGGACAGCGCCCTTGAGCCAGCCAGAACCGGGGGGTGGGGGGTCATCATTGTTGCAGTGCATGCAGCAAAGCCCCCTTGTGTTGCTTTCTGGGAGGCATCTCAGTATCCTGCCCCTCAATTTCTGGATGGGCCTCTCCTTCATTGGGCAGCACGTTATTACTTGTCCTCAGGGCAGGGAAAAGGAAGAATCTTTTTCCTAGAAAAGCATGAAACCATTTAATTTAATAGCAGGAGAGGTCATGGTGATTATGGAATGGGGTGACTTTAGAATCCGATTAGAGCAACTCCTGTTGAACAAGGACATTCGTGGCTATGAGTCGCCTCCAACCTCCTGCGTCAGAGACCAGATCCTTGCCCACTTCCCATAAGTGGGACGGTACAGTTGCCTTCACTCCCCACCCTGTTTTTCCTAGAGGCCCCTGGTTGGCCAGAGCGGGAGCAGAAGGCGGGACGCCGGAGGGCTTTGGTCCGATGCGGCACAGTCACGTTTTCATTCTTGCAGACTTTCAGCCAGGAAAAAGGGAGGAGCTGCCGGACACTCGTCTCCTTCCAGAGGGCCAGCATGGGGCTCGAACCCATGACCTTGGCGTTATTAGCACCACGCTCTGACCAACTGAGCTAGCTGGCCCACTCCTTTGGAAGGAAAGCAGGGCTGCTGCTTCTGTTGCTGCTTCAGCTCCCTCCTCCTCCTCCACACTAAGGGGCCAAGCAACACCAAGCCTTGGCCGAGCAACCTAAAACAATAAACATGTCTGGATGAAATGGGACTTCTCCCAGCCCTCTAAGCACACTCTAAAGTCTTACTTTCTGTTGGTCCTTGTGTGTGTGTGTGGGTCTAATGGACCTGTCTCCTAAGGACCCCCTCTCTTTGCAAACCAAGTTCTGTGCACACAGGAGAGGGAAAAGTCTGAATTCAGGGGTGGAGGATAAAAACCCTCAGTCTGGAAGCTTGAAAGGTAGGGGAGATGCAGAAGGCAAAAGATATCACCTGCCCGGCTTGGCTGAAGCGTGCCTCTTTGTCCTGCTCACAGAGTCACAGAGGCCCTGAAGCCAAGGTGCTCCCTCCATGCTTAGATTCAAAGGTCTTTTTTGTTGGTTTGTTCTCCCAGTCGTCACCACACAGAAGGGTTTCTCTCAGATGCCTGCAGATGAGCTGGTGCAGCCCAGTGTCAAACAGGCTTGGCTGGTGCTGTTGGTTGAGAGCTCCTAGAGGATAATTTGGGAAGCGAGGCCTTTCTCCACTTGGTTGGGTCAAGAACATGGTGCTAACGCCTCCACGGTGGTGGCCCCAGCACCACGGCAGCCAGGCAGGGGCTCAGCTCCTCCTCTCTCTCTCAGTTTGGTCAAAGGAGTCAACCTTTGCCGAAGAGCAGAAATAGGAACATCTATTGTCAACAATAGGTAATTTCAATCTCATTGCCTTTTCCATGCCAAGTGACCTCTAATTTCCTGGAATCTGGATTCTCCAAGGGCCAGTTGATGAGGGCCGTAATAGAAAGCAAACTAGATGCAACCTGGACCACTGTTTTCCTGTCCTGGGGAACCGGCAACTCCAGCGCATATTTTGATTTATGTATTTATTTAAAAATATGTATATATTGCTGACCATATTTTAAAATAGCCATTAAAATAGTTATCATGGTCATCAGCTTTGGCCTTCCGTTCTGCTACTGCTCTCATCCTTCTCTGAGCAGCCCCTCGTGCACTGGCCTGCTCCCTATACAATCTGGGTGACAAATGTACCAAGTTTAAGGATTCTTTTTTTTTTTCTTTTATCCCTCTGGGAAAAAGCTGTCCAAGAAAAGGTGCTGGAACTGCTGGGCCGCAACGCAGCATCCTGGAGCAATTCTTAGTAGGAGACTCTGTGCATGCTTCGGGCTGGCTAGCTCAGCTGGTAAGAGTGTGGTGCTAACAATGCCAAGGCTGTGGGTTCAAGCCCCACGCTGGCCCTCTGGAGCCGGTGGAGATTCCCTGTGCTCAGCTATTTTTGCCTGGCCCATGGGAGCTGGCTTTGCCGACAAATAAACAAGCAAACAAACCATGCATCACGTAGATGACACATTAAGCATCCTACCACCGAAGCTAATTCCCCAGCTGCCTATGTGCCCTGCCCCACAGTGTCTCAAGTCAGGGCAGACTCAGGAAATGACCTGGAAGGCTTGGCTACATGCACAGGAAGGCAAAGAGATTAGAAATGTCAGTGCATGATGCAGTCATTCATCCTGCTGCCTCTCACTAAATCCCCTTTTGTGATCTGTCCTTGATCCTATGTGCATGTAAGTTCTGTGCAGGCATATGTGACAAGTCAGGTAGGTTTATGGGAGTTTTTAATCAGAAGTATCTCCCCTGCCCTGAGCTGATCTGTGCACTATGCTTTTACTAAAATGAGGTCCTTCTCTAATGGAGAAATTAGTCCAAACAATTGTTCAAAGTTTCAAAAGAGGAAATGCATTTAACAATGCATTTTGTTTTTGGAAATGTATGCATGCTCATTCATGGCAGAAAAGAAAAATGGCTTCCTTAGCATACCCTCCTCTGGCATATATTGACTTTATTTATTAATTCATCATATGGCACATTCCCATCACACTTCAATAAAAAACACAGGCATAAAAACATGACATACAAAATATAAGATCCCAAACTTTATAAACATATATCTAAATTACAGATACTTTTTTTTTTTTTTTTTGCTTTCTTTGTCACAACCAGGAAATCAGCAAACTCTCCTTTATAAGCTCTATTTTGTCACTCTGGATAGTTTGTCTTTCAGACCCACAAGCACAATTTGGGGATGGTATTTTGCCCCATTTATAAAGGGCGTCTGCACATCTGCCACGGCCGGTGCAAATTCAGACCGGAAAACAACAAAGTGAACCTTCCTCTCATCTAGACACAGAATATCTACCTTCTACAGAGGGGAAGCACGGAAGGCATCGCAGGCTCCCCAGCACGTGCAGCAGACGGGCAGCAGGGCAGGTGCCCCGCGGAGCAGCACAGAGCCTCTCCTTCCCCAGGTTTTACCCCCCTCCCAACAGCTAACCAGTTGGCCCATGGGGAGATGACCCATCTCCCAATCCTTTGAGACCCCCAGTCATGAGTGATTTAGCTCTGTCATCTTCAGCATCCCGGAGGCTGCAAGCCTTAACTCCCAGGAGGATATCACAAAGGAAGTGAGATGATTCCCAGGCCCTTGGGCGTCAGATTCCTGCTGAGCTAGCCCCAGAAATTATGACATTTAATAGATACAGTCTTAAACGTTGCTTGACCTAGGCCAGCCAGGAGATCTGCTTTATGTCACAGTTCCCCTCTCCCCAGGTTGGATGTTCTCTTTTCCCCCATTTCCAAAGAGGGTCTCTTCAGGAGGTGCATCCATGTATGTCATGCACAAAAACGTGCAGGTAGTCAGAGAAAATGGGATTTAGAGCCGGGTTAGAGAGGTGAGAGGAATCCCATCTGGTTCATAGATATAAATAGATAGGGTGGGCCAGCTAGCTCAGTTGGTCAGAGCGTGGTGCTAATAACGCCAAGGTCATGGGTTCGAGCCCCATGCTGGCCCTCTGGAAGGAGACGAGTGTCCGGCAACGCCTCCCTTTTTCCCGGCTGAAAATCTGCGAGAACGAAAACGTGACTGTGCCGCATCGGACCAAAGCCCTCTGGCGTCCCGCCTTCTGCTCCCGCTCTGGCCAAGCAGAGGAAGATCAGGGTGGGGTGTGAAGGCAACCGCACCGTCCCACTTATGGGAAGTGGGCAAGGATCTGGACTCTGACACAGGAGGCTGCAGATAAGCATTGTGACGCTTAGTCATGAAGGTCCTTGTGCGACGGGCGTTGCTCTAATCTGATTCTAAAGCCACTCCAGTCCATGATCACCACGACCTCTCCTGCTATGATATTCCATGGTTTCGTGTTTTTCTGGGGAAAAGATTCTTCACTTCTCTGCCCCGAGGAGAAGTAATAAGATGACTGGCGCTGCCTGATGAGGGAGGGCCTCATCCAGACATCAAGGGACAGGATCCTGGGATGCCAACCAAAACGTGGTACGAGGGGGGCTTTGGTGCATGTGAGGCAAAAGGGAACAAAGGAGCATTTTTGCTTGAGAATGGGGGCGTCGATCCCGCTACCTCTAAGCTCTTCCACTTGAGCTAATTCCCCACCTGCCTGGCATGACATTTTGGATTTCCTAGAGCACAAACTGTGCCACAATTAACCCAATGAAATTGGGCAATATGCACAGAAAAAAGAAAATGTAGGTTTGCCTGGAGAATGCGGGCATTGATCTCGCAACCTCTCGCATGCAAAGCGAGCGTTCTTCCACTTGAGCCAATTCCCCACCTGATTGGATGCTCTCCCCACAATACTGTGAGAAAACAAAGGATGCAGCATGCCATGGAGAGAGCAACCTGCAAAAACATTACTATGGGATTCATGGCAAAAGAAAGGAAACTGATATGTGACTGGAGAATGTGGGCATTGATCCCACAACCCCTTCATGTGCAAAGTGAGTGCTATATCATTTAAGCAAATTCCCCACCTGCCTGCCATCACTGTTTGGCTAATTCAGGGCACAACCGAAAGAAACTGTGCAGAAAGTCACCCAGGAAAACGGTGTGGCATACAGCAAAAGGGGGCAGAGGAGTGCCTGGGGAATGCAGGCGTTGATCCCGCTCTCTCTCGCATGCGAAGCGAGCGCTCTGCCGCTTGAGCCTATTCCCCACCACGTTGACAGTGGTGTCCTACAATATCCTGGGAAGGCCCAAGAGGCCATGCAGCAAGTGATCCATAGAAAGGAAGTGCCGGGCCTGTTGGCTGCGAAGGAAAAGGGTAGAAGCTTTTCTGGAGACTGGGAGCATCAGCGCCATGTGCTACGTGCGCGGCCTGCCACTTGAGAGGCTTCTCCTCCTCCCGGGCACCATGCTCTTGCATACCCCATTGCACAACCTCAGGCTGCTGTGCATGCCTTGACCCAAGCAAATCGCGCAGTATGCACAGAAAAAGGAGAGCAGAAGTTTGCCTGGAGAATGTGGGCATCGATCCCGCTACCTCTCGCATGCAAAGCGAGCGCTCTACCACCTGAGCTAATTCCCCACCTGCCTGGCATGACTTTTTTGCATATACTAGAACACAAACTCTGCCATAATTAACCCACCAAAATTGAGAAATATGCACAGAAAAAAGAGACCAGAGGAGTGCCTGGAGAATGTGGGCATGGCTCCCTCTACCTCTCACGTGTAAAGCAAGCGCTCTGCCACTTCAGCTAATTCCCCACCTTCGTGGCATCACTTTTTTTACTTATCCCATTGCACAAACACAAGAAGGTGTGCAAGAAGGGATTGAAGGAGATTGTGTGCTACGCACAGAAAAGGAGGACAGAGGAGTGCCTGGAGAATGCGGGCATCGATCCCGCTACCTCTCGCATGCAAAGCGAGCGCTCTACCACCTGAGCCAATTCCCCACCTGCTTGGATGCTCTCCCAACAATATTGAGAGAAAGCTAAGCAACCAGGATGCCATCAAGAAAGCGAATTGAAAAAGTATTGTTCTGTTCCTCGCAAAAGGAAGGGAACTGGTGCTTGACTGGAGAATGCGGACATCGATCTCACTACCTCTCGCATGCTTAGCAAGCGCTTGACCACTTGAGCTAATTCCTCACCTGCCTGGCAGCACTTTTTTGCATATCCTGGAACACAAACTCAAGCAACTGTGCCACAATGAAATTGTGTAGTAGGCTCAAAAAAAAGGAGAATACAGGCTTGCCTGGAGAATGCAGGCATCAATCCCACTACATCCCACATGCGAAGACAGCGCTGTACTACTTGAGGTAATTCCTCGCCTGCCCGGCATCTTTTTTTTTACATATCTCATTGCACAAACATAAGAAATTTTGCCACAATGAACCCAAGCAAATTGCATGGTACACACAGAAAAAGCAGAGTAGACTTTGTCTGGAGAATGCGGGCATCGATCCCGCTACCTCTCACATGCAAAGCGAGCGCTCTTCCACTTGAGCTAATTCCCCACCTGCCTGGCTATGGTGCCCCTGAATATCGCAAGAACAAAAATCCAAGGAGCCATGCAGGAAAGAACCCAAGGAAAATGTGTCGGCAACCTCCAGCAGTACCTGAAGGAGGAGGGAGGCCCTAGAGGCCCTGCAGGAAGGGACCCCCAAGCACCTGGGTGTATTCCTGGAAACAGAAGAGTGTAGTGGCTTCCTGGAGAATGCGGGCATCGATCCTGCCACCTCTCGCATGCGAGGCGAGCGCTCT